AAGCATGTAAATACTGCTGTGCTACAACCAAATAAGCCGTCTGTGGAGCAGTGGAGCTACTGGTAAACATCCCCACACAGTGTACTCCCACTGCAATGAACGCATGCTGCTCATCATGGAAGAGGAAGATGGTAGTTCGCTAAGGCGAACACACCCCCACATCACACGGCCCGTCAAGAAGGGGCTCGTTGTTATTGTAGGCAGCCCTGCATGCGCTCTGTCACTAGAAAGTCTCGTTTCTCTAATAAAAACGAGACGAATCACACACCAAACCCTGCCGATACACTCTTAGTAAGGCATTGCAACACAGCGGAGAGTGATTTTGAGATGTGGCTGTGTATCAGACGGCTTCTCCAAGCATGATAAAAACCGATATTATTTTGGTAATAGCTCCGTACTGGCTGTGTAGAGAAGGGGAAAACATGTCCACCTCCCATTTTCCTATGCATCAGCAATAGCCCCGATGGCTAGCGTGGCGGAGTGCGTAGCATGGTAGCTGTCCTAGCTTAACACCAAACAGCAATGGTAATTATTTAGTTTTGTGCATGATATCCGCCAACTTTGGCTAAGATGTATTAACCCGATACGTAGCATAATGCTGACCGGAGGTAAACACAACAACCTCCCGAGCAAACCTGCAACTTTAACACCGCTTACGACATGATAATAATGGTGTAGTATTAGCTGTTAGTAGACAGCTAGCTTGCGAGCTAACCAATCAGCCATGTTAGCCAAGCATCGCTATAAGGTTGACACCTCAATGCAAACAGCCAGCATTCGAGGTCTTGTTGTAAATATTAAGATTTTTTTTGGGCAAAAATGCCCTATATGAAAACCCTAACAAGTAAAGTGGTTAATTAAAAACCCTTTCAGGGGTTAGGTTGCAGACAGACGCTAAGTTCACGTTAGCTTGTTACAAACCACAATTGTGGACCTCCTTAAAGTTGACATCTCTTGTTTTCAAACACATTACAGGTTATCTTGAAGGACCCGTGCTATAACACCACAATGAACCCTCGTTATTACACACATTCACCGATGTTTATTTCATATTTCACTGTAAAAAAGAATATTAATGCTAGAACGGGATGATAACTTTCACTGTGTTGATGTACATGAATTAGAAGGGAACATGCTCAGCCTTAAAGGCTTCACGTCAAGCTAATGTCAAGAAGCTAACTATTACACCATTTGTACAGCTCAGTTGCATACTGTGTGTTAGTCATATAAATATAGCCTATAAAGGGTTAGGTGTTTATTGTATTGCATGTTTTAATTAACTAGATTACACCAGTGTTTCTCTACAGTGTTTTGGTCGGGTTAGCAGACCAACGTTAGCACCAGTCCAACAAGCTGTGTGGATGTAGCCTGTCCTCACACTCCTCTGAGGGGAAGAAAACTTTATTTCCAGTAGGACCGTTGTGACTATAAATCTGAGAAACATTGGGTGTTTGTGTTGTTTGAAACCAAAGTCAACGTAATAACGCCTTACTGTAGAGTTTAAGGCCAAACAACCAACTCAAAGTTAACTGAGCATCCTGGAAATGACAAGTTTGCTTACAGTCACACTTAACGTTATGAGGAGGAAAAGATGGTAAACGGTTGGGCAGAGTAACCGTTAGCCGTTCATCTGAAACGGGCTCTCCGTATAACCCGTGGCCGGCATTGGTCTAACCGATGCTCCCGGGTTACAATGATGCTGTCCGGTCCTGTGCTTACCTCCCCGCTGCTCGAGTCACTCGATTCCCCCAAAACATCCCGAAATTTCTGCAGGTTGCTCCCGATAACCGAAGAGACCTGTAGTGCAGCATCAAACCCGGGTCCGAGCCCAGCTGCGATAGGGTGGGCTCCAGAGACATTTCGCAGAGAGGCAGTAACCCTAATTCGGCCCGCTCTCCTCCCGGTACCGGAGTTGCAGCTCCCTCCGGGCCGAGCGGGGAACCGCCACCGACAGCTGTGCGCCATTTTACACTCTCTGCCTGTCTGCCCTGCGATCAGAGATACCTCGGTGGGCGGAACCCTAACCCAGCACTCCACATAAACAACCTCTACCACAGCGCTGCGCTCTCACTGGCCGACACGTCGTTATGCAGGTTGCGGGGCGGAACTGAAGTAACCCCGACAATGCATTTTCTCAGCGGCCCTATTCAGACTCTGCATGGCTGAATCCAAATCAGGTTCAGGGGCTTTGCCCGGGAAAGGAGCCTCGCACTTGAATCGCAAGCAAGAACAAGACCGTTGGCTTACTATTTTGTTTCCTAAACAAGGACATTAAAATGACTTTCATAAGCTTCAGACAAACTTCAATACAAACCACAACAGAAGAAAACAATAGTATATTCATTATAATAGTTACCTGTATTCAATCAGGGGCGTTGCAATAAATCCTTCATCCCATTGAAGAGTGTTGCTCTGTTCCTCCAATCCCTTAAACACCACAATACTTGGTATTTTTTTTAAATAAATGTTTTCTTTCTTTTAAAACTGCTCTGAAAAGCTTGAAGCTAGAAAAGTTCTGTACCCTGTCGCTGGTGCTGCAGCCACCTGCCAGCTGTAGGGTTTTTGGACATGATCAGCCTCTCATCAGGTGTGATCCTTCACAAAGTCTTAATTCAATTGAACTTCATTTCTGACATAGCCTATAGCTCAATATCAGTATAAAATTGATAATAAAAACAACACAGAGATAAAAATCATTGCAGATTACACATCCACAGTGACACATGCGTTAAAGACATTAGTTTCAATGTTTCTAATAGAAGAGCCATACTGGGTCCCTCTCGTAAGCTTAGTTAGGGTCATTACATTTTTCAATATATTAATAATCACATACATTTGTAAATGAAATTCCTCAGCAAGGACTAAAAGGTGGGAATAATATAGTCACAAACATACAACGAGCACTTGAGGAGCTTTAGCTTGAGTGATCTGTATGCATCGGGAAATGCCACCTAAAGCTTTTTAATTGGACTGTATCGAGTAATAACAAATGTGCAATACCTACACGCTGAAAGTGCTTCTCGATTCTCATTAATAGGGATTGTTAGGTTAAATGTTAAAGTTTATGATGTTAACTACATGTGCAAGTTACAACCAGGAGCAGCTCCAAGCACTATTATAGGAGCTTGAGTGTCTCAAAACAAATTAGTTTGAGCTCTTAAAGATGTGAGATTTGTTAGTACATAGAGAACAAGGGGGGTTCTGGCTCTCAAAAATGTCACACATACCTGCTTACATTTCCTGACATATAGTCACCACTACTATACAAGCTGTTTGGAAATAGCCTGGAGACATTATAAAGAATGTTAAGGACCCTCAAACCTGAGACCCAGTTGTTGAAGGAAAATAAAATATTCTCATATTCATATTGTCCTTGAGATAAATGTATCTCAAGCTTGTTCTTAAACATGCAACATTTACATAATATACTATAATCTATATTTAAAGTGGTCTTTTGAGTTAATCATCTATTTATTTGTTGTACACCCTATTTGTGGTGGTCCAATAGCAAAACACACATTTTACATGTTGCAATGTACTTAACTCTGTCATATATCTGAAGGAGAACATTACAATGTTTTATATAACGCACATTAGTTTTATTTATTAATCATAATGTACATCCAAAATAAACATTTTATAATCACAATTAAAACAAAAATATTGCATTATAATTTAACCCATGTAATCATTCAGGTGGTAGATATTCAACATACAGTATGAGGGCATGCCAACTAATACATCATCTTTCTCACTTTTTGCCATTTTTTACAACCACACTCGATTTTGAATTAAAACCCTATAATTGAAAAAGCTACTAAAAGAAAAAGTCATCTTATTCTGATCTTTCTCTAATATTCTACCCATAGCTCCCTGTAACGCCCTAAAGAAACAAACTCATCATTATTTCTCTTTAGTATGAAATAAGTCAGATCCTCATTCACTGACATTAACTGCAAGGCTCTTGGTTTTAGGCACCGATCTGTTCTTGACCCATTGATCATTTGTTTGCCCATATGTTAAAATAAATCAGTAAATTAGTTCAAAATGCAAGATCAGGATACATCAGTTCATCTGGTGAATGTTTAATCAAAGAGTGAAAATTATTAATAAATACACTGCCAGTCAAAAATTATTGAACACCCTATAATTTAGCTTTTCTATTATGTTTTGATCCAAAAATGTGATCATTGTAAAGACCTTAAAATCAACAAAAATAAGGCTTATGAGTTTATTTATAAAATATTGTGATCTTTAAACATTTTTATGATAAACTAGCCAAATAACATTTCATAAATGTATGTTTCGCCCCCTGTGAAGCAAGATCAGCAAATGTTGAGACTTGCCGTGTCTCAATCTTTCTTTAAACTAGTCTTGATGTATTTTTATCATGTTTCTGCGACTGCTTTTTGTGCCAAGAGCAGTTATTTTGTGGCCCTGATAACGGCTGTGTGTCTCAAAGTGGCACTTCTATGATTTTACACGAGGAAGAGTTTAATGTCATAAAAAGTACTGAGATTTTTACTCTTGCGAGTAAAAATCTATTTTCCAAGGACTAAACACATTTTTGTTTTGGGTGGCCATCACACCACTGTTAATTAGTATTAATTTGTAACCACTTTGAGCATACACAGCAATGCCATGCTCAACCATTAACTGACTTTAGTATGGGATTTTAGTTAAGACTGGCCCCCAATAGAAAATAGGTTTTAGATTAGTGTTATTACTGAGTAGTAAGTGAAACACAGTCCTTATCCAACAACCTATTAGTTGTATTAGTAAGCAAGCGCTCAGACCCTAATGAGATCTGTCATTACTACTTAATTAAAGGCAGGTGGACTTGAAGATGTAAAGACACTTAGATATAAAGGTTAAAATACAGAAAAAGTGTAGTCTGTATGGTTTTGTGCTTCAGTATGCTTATAATAGTGACAATTATTTTAAACATCTCCATCTAAATTTAGATGATCTCCACTAAAATAAAAGTCACACACATCAACTTCAGTTTTACCTTTGCTGTTGCCTTTAATTGCTAATTTTATTTACAATTCTGCTTGAGACTTAACCTAATATGCTGAAACGTTGGGTGTTCAAGAACTTTAAGAGGCAGTGTTTTTTCTTTCATGAAGTTCAAATCCTAACCATTTCCTCCATGTTCGGCTTTAACAGTTCCCCAAAATACTCACCTTGCAGTATAAAATCTGGTTTGGGCCGGCTGGTCAGTCAGGAGTTAATTCAGTACATTCAACAAGTCCTGTTGAAACTGATGCTTCTGGCCACAGTTCTGATTGTAATAATGAGCTAATTAATACACAGTATTCAGGGAGAGAGACCAGCGGGTGCATCATGGTACCACGGGGCATCATGGGACTCAAACAGCTACTGCGTGGGTTGGTATGGATTTTGAAGTCGTCACCAGCCTGTGGGCTACAGTTTTGCCTGGACAGTTTTTCACAGAGGGAATCCACGGAGTGTGAAGGCTGCATGTAAAGGCTAATACAATGTTAGTCTGAAGAAATCCACAGAGGCAAGCACACCATGGATTAGACAAGAAGCAGAGGAGCACGCTAGATGTAAGCTGTGAAAGAAAACAGGGATGCAGTCATTGTTTATCACAGCGAGGATTCGCGGCTAGCCACTGGGTCCCAGCTGCTGCCTCTCCTGCTTATGCTTATCCAGCCACTGTAAGATCTGCTGCTTGAGTTCCTCGTTTGGCCTGATTTGGTCCATGGTCAGAGGACTGCGGTTGAAAGGGTCTGTCTGGTCACTGCGAGGAAGACATATGTGTATAAATTAATGGCTACTTCAAGCTTTCCCTTCAAGTCTATTGTGATGGTTAAAAGTGATCAGATTACAATAAAGACAAGATATACAGTACCAATTTTGCTGCATACAGAAAGACAAATAAAGACAATTATTTCAGGTAACTCTTGTGCTTTTAGGAAGTACCCTACCTGAGGAGATGCCTTGCTATAGTTGAGCGGTCAACTGTGACACTGGAGGAAGGGAGGAGGACCGGGTCGAGCATCAGAGTGGACATGATGGGATCCAGGAACTCATCCGGGGCATCGGCATACGTCTCCTCTTCCTGCTGCTGTCTGTCTGCATGGGGCTAAAGGAGAGGTGCAATGACAATGAATCTTTTGTGTGTTTTTTAACCTCTCTTTACCACAGAGAACAGGGCAAATATTCCTAAAAAAGGTTCTAAGTCTGGGTTCCCAATCTTTTTCTAGACATTATTTTCCAGGCCACTTGCAGTGATGATCTAGTTGGTTTAACAGACACTGAACACGCCATACACTAACCAACCTGTTCCTCTCTGTGGAAGTCAAATTCATTGTTTTGACCGAGGCCTAACCCACATTTGAAACCAATTCTCCCAGCCAGAGATTAATGACGAAACTAAAACTATTGCATACTAAACAAGTAGCAAGCAGCTAAACTAAACAACTCAACCATACAGTACATGCTTAACAATTTAACAGTTTAAAACAAGTTAGAAAGAAAGCACGTCTTGTAATGTCATCCAACCTGCATGACTTGACTTGAGGAAGTGTTCACAGCGTTTCCACAACAACTGAGAGTACCCTATTCAAAATGTTCCTGTCCATAAACTAGAATTTGAATCTTATGTGATCCTGAACATAACCTAGACCATTAAGATGGAAATCTTATCGCTTTGTGGCCCTTGGCATTCATTAATAAATGATAAGCTAAAAATAGGAGAATTTTGAAATAATTTTCCTGGACGTTTTCAATGACTGAGAATTGGGCAATAGTTTTTCCAGGATCTGGGGGAACCCTGCAAGACAAAAGATACCTTTATTTTATCAGCAAGGAGTCCAAACGCCACGATCATGTCCCCAGGCTTGTTTATCTTCTTCAGCACCCTCACTGTTTGGGAGAAGAGGGCGGCAGAGTACGACCGTCCATCCTTTGGGACTGTAGCACAGAAATTCTCCTCATCACTGCCAAAGACAGAAACAAAATTGTATTTACATATTAATTGCACACTCAGCAATGTCCCACTGTATTTCTTCTTCAGAGGATATAGCACCAATAAGATAACGACAGAAAACAAGAAAATATATTCAGTGTTTACTACATACCCCAGGTTCAGGTAGATGGTGCAGATGTCAGAAACAAGCTGCTGGGGCTTGAAGTCAAACTCACTGAAGTCCTTGACTTTAAGGGCCCCCATCTTAGGGCCCACTAAGTGCTGCAGAAAATAATTCAGCATGGAGATGATCCTCTCAGCCAGGAAGGGGTGCACGAAGATCCCCTTGATGTCTGGAAAAGAGAACTTTGTTAAAAGCAAAACACACAAGGGAGGGGGGAAGACAAACGTTAAATGGATGAATCAACATGAAGAATCAAGTGTGTTCTGACCTGATGTGAGGAAGGCCAGGGTGCCGATGGTCTCATTAGACATGATGTTGTGGAAGCGTCCCAGCTGTCCCAACATCTGCAGGCTCGACTCCTTCTCTCTCCGGGCATCGGGGGCCAGGCTTTCCCACTCCCCTCTGTCCCGCTCCAACTGAAGGACCTTGATTTTACTCAAGTACTATGAGATAAGATAGGTTTTTTTTTTTTAGCTAATGAAAAACTTAAGTCATTAATTACGTTTATATGGCCATCATCGACTAATTCTGTGCCAGATGTTCTCCTTGTGCACAGTACTTTGTGTTTTATGCAAATGTAACCTTTACCAAAAAATGAATGCAAAGTAAGCACAGCAAAAGATTAAATAAACACCAGACAAACAAACCATAATGCTACTTGACTATAAACTACACATTAGTAATGTAATGGACAAGTTTATTTGCCATATTGGTGTCAGGTGGTGCATGTTTGAATTATCTTACCTGAATAGCCTCATCCAGTAGGAAGATGGCATCATTCATCAGGAGGTTAAGGAACCTGAGGAACAGAGGGGGGTTCATGGCCTCCAGGTTCTCAGATGCATAGTGCGCCAAGTGCTGAAACAAGAGATGTCAAACTTAATAAAGAGCCGATTTAGATCAATCTGCTCGACAAACTACAATTTTCCAATACATAAAACCCCCTGGTGATAAACCATAGATGCCTGTTTCAGCCCTCATACTCTCTACTGCCTTCACTCTGTCATGAGTCATGAGTCAAGAGGCCTAAGCCAATCTTTGAGTTCATTGAGTGAAACAAAATGACACACCCTGGACCGTTTACCCGGGCCGTTTTCTTTCCTCTCTACTACTCCTCTAGAAATAGACACAATTTGAGTGAGTTGTGATGAGAGTGAGGAAACATTGGCATTTTGGCAGAGTTTTTTGTTGTTCACCAAAAATCTAGGTCTGCTCTTGATGAAGTTTCCCGATCGTAAACTCTGTAATACACCTAGGAGCGGCCGACCAGCCAATACTTGTCTTTAACCAACATTGTAATGTTCATTATTAAGCCAAGAGTGGTGATTTAATTCTCACGGATTTCAAAAGTTGATTCTACCTATTGGAACAGCATGCAACATGATTAAGACAGGATTAGATATTAAGAGAGCACACACAAAATACATTTAATAATTAAACACGTGAGCCTCTTTTTGTATGGCCATTCAACATTTTTTTACAAAAATGTAAAACATTGAAAACAGTTTACTTGGATGGAAAACCTCAAAGTCACCCGTTATTCTTTTTTTACCTTGATACTCTCTCTGTAGCTTTCTTTTGTCCACATGTACTTGAGGATGGGATACATGGGTCTCCTGTAGTTGAATTTCTGTTCAAATTGATGAGGGTCACCTAATAAAAGGAATGGGAAAAAATAAAATAAATCAAACATTGCTACTTTCTTTTTTCTTCAATTTCTCATTTGGATGTTCGTTTTCATCATAGGCAGCCTTACATAAAGTTATTTTCACTGGGTGATTGTACTTGTGACAGCACCTGAACTGGACTTTTCAAGGGGACTTTATCCAATACAGTTCGATGCTGCTTGCATCACTACGACGATAGCATATACAAAATTGTGAGGAATACAATACCTGTGAACTCGATGTCTACAAACACAGAGATGAGGGCCTCGGCCAGCTGAGGTGCGTGTCTATAGGAGCAGAAGGCTCTCTCTCGCTGGAACACGATTGGCTGAATAGCACCAGAAGCCACCGGCTCCATGTGGGGCATCACCGCCTCTAGGACCTCCGCTAGCTTCGCTCTTAAATGAGGGTTCTTCATCCTGTTGTGCATGCAGGACAGAGGGGATTGAGCCAAACACTCTAAGGCGGTCTGCATCATTCAAACCCCATTGGACATCAATTATTCCTTTCAACTGACAACAATCGCTGATATAGTAGATGTAGTTTTGTACCTCTCTATGTTTCCCATGAAGACAGTGATGAAGTTAAGAATCTGCTCCAGACTTTCTGCAGAAGTCTCCAAAACATCGTCAGCAAATCGACGCAGGAAGATGAAAAAATCTCCCATGTTTTCTGCAAAGAACTCTGTCGGAACAGGCATACAGAAGTGATGACTATCATAAAAAGGTATGTTCAGCATCAATGAATCATTTTACCACAAGTGATTAATCCCTTCCTTGCATGCACATAGCTGCCCACTGCTCCTAGTACTAGGATGGGTTAAAAGCAGAGACCACATTTCACTTTGTGTGCATGTATGTGTGACCATTAAAGAGAGTTTCATTCATTTATAAATTACATATTGAAGTATCACCTGCATATGATAATAATAATAATAATAATAATAATATATGGGATTTGTATAGTGCTTTTCCTAATGCTCAAAGACGCTTATATATATTATATAAGCAGAGTTAAAGGTTTTAATGTAATGGTCCAAAATAATTTTAACTGACATCTCTTTCTGAGCCTGAACCCGACAGTGAAATATACAAAAATATACATCTTAAAATAAAATCTGTGTGAAATTTTAATAATTTCAAGTTGCAAGGTGTCGTAATATCATAGGAAAAGGATTTCTATCAATTATTTGTTGTTACAGGGATAAGTATAAGTTTACACAACACACTTTTAAACATTCTCCAATTACGAGATAACACATATAAAACATGAAACAACCTGATGAGATTTAAGCATGAAAAATGTATAGAAATGAAATGTCAGCCTCCCTTGAACCCACTGATCAATCAAAGCTTAAGTTTGAGCGGCTTTATGTTCAACTTTGTTTGTAGTGTAGTGGGAGACCTGACCTACCTGGTACGTAGCAGAGCACAGTGTTCTGTAGGGGGGGCAGGGGGAAACTGAGTGCTACATGTTCAGGCCCCTGGTTCCCCACACCCAGCTGAACGAGCAGCGCAGCCGAGGAAGCTTGGAGGCTAAGGCAGCATTGCAGCATGGTGGGCTGAGTGGTGGCAGCTTTGGTAGACAGGTAAACAATCATCAGACGCTCAAACTGCTCCAGCAGCTGATCCGACATGGGGTTGCCCGATCGCTGGGCGTCCTGCCACGTCACCTGGAGCCGGTGGAGAGACTGGTTCATCTTCACCATCTGCTCGTGGAGTCTGCACATGCACGCCACAGAAGCATGGATACAAACAGAAAAACACAGTACGGGTTAATGCTGACATATGGTGTGAATATGAGGAACATAAGGTATGCTACATTTCTGTGGGGTATGTAAAACAGGAAGTTTCTTTATTTATTTATGGAAGTTCTTTGAAGGTATGTACCTGTGGAAGCCGAGATGCATTGTGAGTTGTGTGAGGATGAGGTTTTCGGTCAGCAGGCTGTACGACTGCGCAGACTCCACCGGCTGCTGGGGGGGCAAAGGGATCAGACAGGTTTCCTTGTCGAGACCTGGCGTAAGAGATTGGGGATTATTTAGACATAAAATGTAGTTTGTACAATTGTAAAATGATAAATGCTATAAATCAAAACTGCTATGAGCCCATTTATAAAGACAATACAAACACCAGAGCAGCTGCACTAATACTTGTGCATTAAAATGATGATAATGTATTTTAACTGGTCAAATTGATGCTAATTTTCAAATGTAATAACCTCTTGCGTGCACATTGCGATTGCGCCTCTCTTCCTCGCTCAGCTCTTTGAGGGCACAGTAGGTGGGGTTAAAGGTCAGGAGTTTGGGTGACCGCGGCCGGCAGAAGGGCTGGCACAGCTTCAGCAGTGCTGCACCCAAGTTTAAGAAGAATGCATCTGAAGCGTACATCTGGAAGAAGATCTCTGGCATCTGATTGGCCCATATCTTGGCCCGGCCGGCGTTAGCCTGCAGACAGCCGCCCAACCACGAGAGCAGCAAGTGACGCGTCTCACTGGATCGCTGGAGCAGGTTTTTCAAAATCTGGTGAAGCTTGTCCTGAAACTGACCCATAAACTGCAACACAGAGTAAACATCGTTAGACAATGACGTTTGGAGCAAATCCGACAGCAACATCAAGCTGAAGAGAGTCTCTTTACCTGGTGGATGTTGGCCTCCTGGACCTTTGTCTCCTGGGCACTGGAGCGGGAGGGGTTCTGGAAGTAGCCATGTCCCTCCACCACACCTGGGGTTCTCAACAAGCAGGAGATACTCAACACTGTTCCCAGCAGGGTCTTCTGGTACTGCAAACCATTAGCTGGGTCTTTGGGCTGAATATGTTCCACCAACACCTTGAACAAAAAAAAAAGAACTGAGTGAAATATTCGGCCATGTCTGTTTATCTGAATATGATTATTTGATGTACTGTGAATTATTGTATATTACTCGATTAGTGGTGGGCAATGAACTTTGTAGTTGTTGTCAGTAGTCAAAGTTATGATAAAATGTATGAACATCTGTGTGTTTCTCCTGACCTTGGCAATATCTTTATGGTGGCTGAAGTAGAGCAGGACGTCTAGGTAGGAGTAGAGGAGAGGCTGGCACAGGTCCAGGTCTTTGATGCGTCCCTGGAAGATATCCAGCACCGGTACTATAACCTCCCCAAAGGTGCGCACCTCCTGGTCGGAGAGCAGGCCAGCAATGATCTCCTCCAAAAACTCAAACACCTCTTCTGGCTCTGAAACACATCGGCTTTGTAAGAAACAGAGAAGAGTAGAATCAAGGCAAAGCTTTACCGAGGCAGGAAAGAAACAGTCCTGAACCTACGTGCTGCGCGGAAACCTTCCAGCAACAAGTCCAGAAGCTGTTCATAGATGTTCTGTGTGACGTAGATCTCTGGGGTGAGCAGAACTGTCCGTGTGTTGGAAACTGTCAGGTTCTTACAGCGTACAGCGAACGACAGCAACTTCTCCGGGACCTTCGTCACCTAATGCACAGATAATCCAATCACTAAATTATGAAAAAGCATGGGTTATTCAATTTAATTTAATTTAATTTAATTCAATTCAATTCAATTCAATTCAATTCAATTCAATTCAAGGCTTTATTGTCATGTGCACAGTAGCTACAGTGTAGATATGGCAATGAAAGACTTAAGTCCGAGGCTCCTCCAACAATGCAACATGAATATATATAGGACATGAAAGAAATTAAACCAATACAAATAGTGAAAGAAATAACAATAGAAATAGAATAGTGCAAGAGAATGTTGTGAGATGTGCAAGTAAATACATATAAAATAGTGCAAAAGGGTTATTTTTCTGTTCCAATTAATGAGAATATTTACAACTGGTAATCTCTGAAAAAGGTTAGTTAAAGTGCTACGATAACAAGTCCTGTAGGAAAAACTCGCACCTCTTCTTTGGACCTCTGGTAACAGGCGAAGAGGTAACGGATGGCACTCGTGTCTCCAGCGTCGCGGTCAGCTGACAGGTTGACAGCGCTGCACGACGTCATGTAGATGAGGTTGTTCCCCGGCTCTAGCACCAGCAGACGGTTGAACAGAGCCTAAAGACGCAAATCAGTCAACTTACTCACTAATACATTTTTGAAACATCCTAAAATTATAGAAGTTCTTAACATTTAGTAGAAACAGGATGTGGGAAAAATGGAGTGATGACATAAAAAGACGTCTGACCTGTTCTATGTTATCCGTGTCCAGCCAGTCCTGTCCATCCAGCTCTGCAGCCATCTCCTCCAGGTAAACACAGCGAGGGGGGATCCCATTACCTCCTCTCAGACTGGAGTCACCTAAGGGTGAGAACCAGGGTCCTTAAAATAAAGTCTGCACAAATCATATTACACAAAACAACCTATGAAGCTTAAAGGAACAGTTGACCATAACATCCAAATGACATGTCCGCAGACACAAACAGACTCCACAGGGAAAACAATACCAGCAATACTGTCGCAACTGGCAAAAAGACACATGGGTAAAATGCAATTAATGTTTTTACTGGTTTATTTCAAACTGAGGTGCAACAGAATTCATTAACGTGAAAACAGGGGGACTTTTAACATTATTTCCTGATCACCATCACACACCCTTAGGTAGTCTCAGTGGTCGAGAGAGTCAGCAGCAAGACTTTAGTGTGCAAGGTCTTTGTATTGTCAAGAACTATGAGTCATTTGTTGCAGTGCTTACAGGAAATTAGACTTTCAAGTCGCTAGAGCACTGGAAATAACAGGGGGACAACAGAGCAGACTTAACATGATCAGACAACTTCCTGTCTGTCTGCCTAATGTCCCTTCCACAAAAAAGGAAGTACTGCAGGGAAACGTGATGAACTGGAAATGTAAAAAGGTCAATGAGGATTATCTGACTTGATTCTCCAACATCGTCTCACACCCAGAGATTCACATGGGCTTCACACTGTCATCTTTGGCTTTAAAGGGCTACAATATAAACAAATCCCAGCTGCTGGTTCATTATGAACATAAAGCTAGAGTACGCTATCATGATATTGCCGAAAGTACTAGTAACTACTTCTACATCTACAGTATAACCCTATTCTGACTCTCTGACAGGGTCAAACCAACATCTAGTTGTGTCTATTTATATGGGTCACAACCCTGATATGGATTGGATCTAACATGAAAGTTTCCTGGCATGACAATAATATTTAAATGTTATTTAATCATGCAAAACCAAAAGCAAATTTGAAAAGAGGAAGAGAGAAGGGGATCTAAAAGCAAAGGTGAATCTGATAGAAGAGGAGACATTTAAATCGGGAAACTTTTTTGTTGTTAATTTACAACACAATACACTTTTTATCAGTAACTTCAATGCAGACCATAGTCTCTGCTAAATGTACCAAGCAGAATTGAGGCAGTGACAGCTGTCTCATATTATTGTGTCTATCATGTAGTCAATAGAATTTAGTCAGACGCACATATTCTCTATGAAAGGAGTATAAATTACAGATCAAAAACGTATTACTCTCCTCCTTCTACTTACTGTTGTCCAGAGTGATGAGAAATATCCTCTGGATCATGTGATTGACATTGAGCTGTTCACACAGTTCCTGCCGGGACCGGAAGGAGCGACTGATCTCTGCCACGGAATCGTCATTTTCATCAACGCTGTCCGAAACAGAGTTTTCTGACTCTGAATGGCTCTCTCCCGAGTCCTCCACTGTTGTACAGGAGACAGAGGGTAGGTATGAAAAACAATGTGGATACAATTGAGCCAGATGTTAACATGACCTTTACTTCACTGACATTATGTTATAAATGTGTTCATGTGTATGCATCCCTCAAAACACTGACAATACGTCTCATCAGAAGATTGCTCGAATAACTCTACCCACATGGTTCAGCAGACTGTTCGGGTGTCTGGCCAGATGCAAATTGCTTGGCATCAGCGACTGAGCTGAAGAGAGCAGCAAAGGGGTTGCGGGAGATATTCTGGTTGTTGTTGCCCTGGTCAGTCATCTCATTGGGGCTCAACACTCACTCCATCCAAGATCCCAGCCTTAAGGAGCGATGCAGACACAAAAACTGTCAATACTATAAAGGCATTCAATAACAGAGCAAGGGATACAGGAGCATGCAGAGTATATTCTCTCACACGCAAAAAAGTATTTGACTAAAGAAATTCCTATGTATACTCATACATTTATTTTCATCTTATAGATTTGTCAGATAGCTTAAACTGAGATTTCCACAAAAAAAATCATTCAGAAGCACCACTTTAACAGAAATATGTAAGTCATTTAAAAAAAACATCAAAATGAGTAACCTGCTGATGAAATCTTAGTTGACTTACACCAAAACAACCAATAAGTCAATACGTTTACCACAGTGGGGGCAGCCCTGAAATTCATCATCTTATTCATTGTCCCACTATCACCTTGACCTGTAAACCAGTCAAATGCAAAACTGTACAACATCTGAACCTTGTCCTTAACAGCTTGGTAGCTTCTTTTTTTCTTTTTTTAAACTTCATTCAAATTAACTGGAACTTGTGTTAGCAAACCACCTAACATGTTTTAACAAATGAGGGTTATATGTGCAATTCTTAAAACATTTCCTGTCTCTGTACGTCATATTTCCTGCATCTTATTAGGACATCCTATTCGATTAATATCTATGACACTGATCACAATAAAATGCTGGTTACTTACTATCGCCTTATTTTAGTTGCAAGATATTGTTTTAATTTCATTATTTGAAAAGGGGCAACGTAAACAAGAATCAAACATATGCAAGTATAATAGTGTCAACTGAAAGGCTAGCTTTCGTTAGCAGGAGTTATTAGGCATCTTAGCCTAAAAACACATTGTATATACTGTGGTAAAAGGCAAACAATACATTACAGAGATGTTTCAATCTTGATTTAAGCACTTCCACACTATGCATTTCCCTCTGATGCTATTATAAACTTTCAGTGATTACATTCAGAGAGAAGGGAATGAAAACACACCTGCTCCCACTGACAGCTAACCGAGCACAGTACATATGTTGATCAGTGCTTTACGGTACAACGTGTTGTCACGGTTACCCATCATCTCTGTCAGCACCTTACGATTATAAACCATTGTACCTTTGTAGAGCTAGCTTTACAACTAGCCACTTTTAGGCTTTTTCACGTCATGTCACAGGTTTAACCATATAGTAGCAGCTTGAGCTTGGCGATAGTTAGCCATCCAGCTAGCAGGGTAAGCTAGCAGCCCTGACTGTCCTGCATCAGTTAGCTGGTTAGCTAGTTAGCAAGCTAAGCTGTCATGGGGTCACCACGACTCTATTTCAGCACCAATAAGATAAACTGTTACACGGATTCAGCGTATTTTCAGTTTGTATAATGGATACAAAAGATGAAGCGGACTGTCCTACCTGTTTGACGGGAAGAAGCGTGCTTCTGATATTAAAGAAATCGCCTCTACGAAACCAGACAGCTCCTCAGTAAACTGAAATTGTACACGTCATCAGAATGAGACGGGGCGTCTTTTTTGCTTAGTAACTTTTTACTAAACATTAATACATAATTGAAGAGCATGTATACGTTTATTTTTATTTAATTTTCAATACTTTACTTAATTGATTCTAATTTGTCCCTGTTTTGTTTTAGATATGTATTTATTGTGCTACCCTGAAACAAGGATTTGAGTGTTCAACCTGCCTCGCTTTATATTAGCCTACTTCTAAAAATTAATTGATTAGTTTCGCTGAATATGACAATAATTAGTCTATCTAATTTTTCTTAATGTAATATTCACAAACTTACATTCTTAACCCTCATGGTCGAATATTAAAGAGCCTGTGTGGGTCTGGGGATAACATTTTGACTAACTTTAACTTGGCTTGTGTATACAGAAACAGGTTGCATTCTATTCAGGGAAGAATAAGTGTGAGTTTTAGAGACATTTTATATTATTATATTATATCATTTCATATATATTTGTTTTTCTTTGCATCATCTGCATGTTCTGTGATGTTTGTCTGATGTGTGCTCACCGTCAGCAGAGGGCATCAGCGGACTGTCTCTCAACATACCATGCAGAAACCTCTTGAAATTGGCAGATGTGTCTTCACAATGGTAAACTTTCACTTGTTGAACATCAAGCTGTAATAAACAGAGATGGGAGAAATACTCAGATCTTGTACTTGAGTAAAAGTAGAAGTACCAGAGTGTAGGAATGCTCTGTTACAAGTAAAAATCCTGCATTCAAGATGTTACTCGACTAAAAGTACAACAGTATTAGCATTACAAATATGTACTCAAAGTAAAAGTACTCGTTATGCAGATTGGTCCATTTCAGAATAATATATTTCGTATGTTTTGATTATAGGTATTGATGCATTAAAGTGTTATTAAAGCTGTTAAAGATGCAGCTAGTTTTAATGACTTTGTATGCTGCAGGGTAGATTGTGAATTTACTCCAGGTGTAAATAAAGTATTGATTATATTTCACATCATTCATCCAAATCTGCAAAGTAAGGTATTTAATAAATGTAGTGGATTGAAAGTACACAATTTACCTTTTAATTCTAGTGGGGTAGAAGTACAAAGTAACATAAAATGGAAATACTCAAGTAAAGTACAAGTATCTCAAAATTGTACTTAGGTACAGTACTTGAATAAATTAGTTACTTCCCACCTCTGCTAATAATAATAGTCAAATACATACTGAAAGGCCGTCTGACTATTTGTGAACTTAGTTAATTTTTGTTATTTCACATTCACCTTTCACATATTCTAATAATCTTTGACTGATTCTTTCAATAATGAAGACAGAGTGTATTTGATTTGGAATATGGAAAACAATGTCCTCTTGCACATCATATACTGTAGTTTAGATTAATTTAGTCCTGTCCTATCCTGGAACTATTCCCATGCTGCTTCAAAAATATTCACAAGAAATACAAAAAAACATTATTTATATGAAAGCAATTAAAGAGACAACCAGTCAAAGTATCATGTTTGAGCATTTGTAAGTATTAAAATCACCGGGGAGATGTGTGTGTGTGGAAAGTGTTTTGAAATTATTGTTGTAAATGCAATTAAAATTCATTCTAGGCTTTGTATTTCTTTGTGAACTTCAAAATGGTAACAAACCAGGGCATAGGCTATGTACTACAGTATATTGCACCTCCAGTATTTTTACAAATTACTTTGAAGATGTTGACACCATCCTTGTATTTTGCAAACAATTTCAGTTTATGATCATCCTGAGTTAGTGCTGCATTTGATATTGTACAGGTGAAAATGTGTTTTCTCCTGTTTTAACAGGAGAAAAATAAAGAAATCTCATTATATTGTGTTTTGTTGAACAGATGCTCTTACAACACAAAGTAGGGCAGGGCTGGAAGACTGATAAACAACTACTTCACTACAAATAGTCAACCTTCAGTGAATGATTGTAGCTCCAAGTAGCATCATGACCTATGTACTGTATGTTTCTTGTTTGTGGTTGAACACTTTAAACACTAATAATAGTAGTAGTAATAATACTAATAATAAACCCTTCTTTCTCCCCTCTTTAGTTTATCATATTAACATTTTGAACAAAAAACAGAAACCCGGAAAAGATTATTTTATGTTTTATGTAGTAATCCGGCCATTATTACATATGTGGCGAGTCAAGACGGTTTACATGTATGAAACAACCCAGCCTGTACTGAGCAGCTTTAATATTGAACACTGAAAAACAGAATCATCATACTTGTGTTTGCTGCACACAGATTCATACCACAACAAGTAATCATTCATAGAACAGAAACAAAACAAAAAAACAACAGCTAACTCAGTGTACATGAAAACATACAGTGTTTCCTACATAATTAAATTGTTTGACATATTGAGCTTTAGAGCACATCTGACAGTAAAAAAGGAACTTCTCACATCAAACTTGCTATGTAAAGACACAAGTCAGCACCATTGTAAATTCATTGTTTGTTCGTTTTTATTTCTTGACTTTTTTCTCTCTTTGATCAGTGATTTTAAATAATCTGAACAAATACTCTCAGTGATCTACACTTTGCATGTATACCATATAAAGTCTCAGACATAGGGATCATTACAATAATACAAAAAAGGCACAATATTTACAGTCCAGGCAAACCTCCTAAAGTAATTCGTAAGGGAAAGAAACATATTAGTGTTCCAGGTTGTCACAGTTTAGATTTATACGAAGGCTCAGCCTCTCATTGAAATGTGTAAGTAAGTGCCTATCTGGCAAGTCTTTGTCCGATGTGGCTCTGCTGTTCATCACTAAATTAAAAGTGTCTTTATGGCTTCTTTTCACCACACAAGATGAACTTGAAGCTACACCTCCCTCTGTCCTGTCCTCCTTGTGCATCCTCTCCTTTGTCTTCAGGGAGTAAGTGTTGCTCACTGTCCATTATTTGCCCCTTTTCCTCGTCTTAACCAGTCTCTCCAGGGGGTTTGTGTTTTGCCCTGATTAGCGTCTGAACTCCAGGCGTTGGTTGTCCGGCTGGGCCTGCGGAAGAAGGACATGCCATTGGAGGTGGACTTCTTCTGAGGAAGCTCCAACTGGTGCTGGGACTTAAGCTGCTGGTTGATGATGATCTGGATGTCGTCCTGAAGGAAAGATGGACAGAAAGAGGAAATTAGCAGGAAGTCTGGACAGCGGGGACTCAACACTGTCAGCACTGCTCTCATATCATTCAAACTCAGTATATAGTACATCAATCTGACAGTATTAGATTTAAACACTGCTTCATTATGAAAGGGATAGTTAAAACCAAATAAAAAAAACACATTTCTTTTTTTTGACCAGTCTACTCTAGACTGTTTTGGTTTGGGTTGCAAATATTGTCTTAAATATGTCTGCTTTCTCTCAAAGATCATGGAACTGTATAGCACTTGGTTATTGGTGCTATCAGTAGCTAAACATTGAATTAAGAAGACTCAACACATCTTTTGCCTATATGAGTGTACTGATTCAGGATTTGTTTTTCCTAATGATAGACACATAACTTTCTCTGTCCCTACCGTAGATCATTCATCATTGTGATTGCTTGTAAATATTCCTATAAATGTGTGTATTATTAACAGCTATGAAATAAGAGATTGTATTTGTGGACTAGTTGATGCCAGTCTGTCACTACACATTAAAATATTGGTATGTGAAAAACTCTGTTCATGTTTTATTTGTGATTTATATTTATAAGGGAATATTTTTGAATGACTTATTTCGTTATTATTGAGGATCATTTTACACTTCTGCTGATAAACATGGATCCTCCCAATTATAATCTGGTTTATCGTCCCCAAAACGTGGATGGCAGGCTCTACAGCAGATGGCTGTGGTTGGCATAGTGACTCAGCAGCAGGAGGAGACGCTGACAGAAACACCTGCCGCTCATTTTCCTCCAAACTGACCGAGCTGAGAGAGAAACAGCTGCGTCTTTCACTGACCTCCCACTGAGGACATCATGCGTCTGCTGTATACAACATAACGTATGATTTCGATCTCAAAGGTGTTAATTTAATGTACTCATATTCATATTTATGCTTTTCATAAGCAAAAGGTTTCTCTGACAGATCTGACAGGCAGTTGGTGAGAAAAAAAAGGGCTGAGAAGGAGATGGTTTAATATTCTTTTGGGGACAGTAGACTGAATGGCATGGACAAGAGAGTTTGAAAGACAGAAAGGGATCTCACCTGCCAGGCCTCCAGCTCCTGCGACAGCTCCAGTTTACGTTGGATGGCCTCTAATAACTGGTTGTTCAGAGACATCATGTCATTTTTACTTCTGATCAACTCTGCCTCCATCAGGTTTTTCCTACAAAGAAAATTAAGAAACCCCTTCAGTCACATCACTGTCAGCTACAATAATCAATTCAAGAGCAGCTTTCTAAAGGAAAACTTTGAATGATGTCTTTATTTTTGTTTTAAAACATACATTTGCCGGACAGAAATTCATTGATTTGTTCTTATTGTTCAAACCAAACATTGCAGAATTATAATAGCAAGTATGATAGCTGCATATATTGGATTTTTTATTATTTTCATTGAGAATATTCAGGGAGAAAATGTTTTACCTGGCTATGGCTTCATCTCGGTCTTTGATGGCCTGATGGACAAATTCAGTCTGCTCCTGCCCGCTCTGCAGCCTCTGCCTCAGCTCAGAGTTCTCCTGCTGCAGCTGGACGTTCTGCAGGAGGGAGAAATTAGCAGTGTTAGGACCACAGTGAGAAATTCAGAGCATTTATCAAAGTGTTTTTCTGCATATAACACAATTAAGGAATTTTTGTTGCACTAAAATGTAATTTTATTTTATAAATGTTAATCTTTTGATGGCTTTGGAGCTCACACATAGCCAATTTGGATCTCCTAATGTGATAACAAATTAAGTTTAAAGGTGGTGTTTAACAGCATTATAACAGCTTGGAGTGTTTTGAAAAAGAAGATTGTTGCACTCAGGTGACAATGACACAAAAAATAAACCAAAGCACGCTAATGGAATTTGTTAACACCCTTGTTTTAGGGCTAACAAAAAACTAAGGAGAGGAGATTAAAACTGGAATATTGAAGTCGCTCCGTTAAATCCGCTCCAGAATAGTCACTGTATTTGTCTGTGGAACCAGGATGGATTACAGTGACAGCAGTAAGGTCAGTTTTACTAATGCACAACCGAATCCTAATATAATGAGCTGCTGTGTGTGCTGCTCCTCCCTGACAGACGTGTTCGTTCATCACAGTTACCTGATCTCTCAGCTCCTCCGCTGCGCTCGGATTCCCACACTGATCGCCCGTCCTCACGACAAAAGCTTGATTCAGCTCCTGGGACACAGACATTAACAAAGAGATCAGGTATCGTCCGTGCACTTCACAGAGATTTATACCAAAAAGGAGCTTCTGTAGAGTTGGCCTATTTGAATGTGCTCCGAAGGAGGAAGGGGATGGGCAGGGATATTTAGTTTCAGAGGTAAATGCCTGAGGTCTGAACACCATTAAACACAACTGGACAATTGTATATGCTTGCTTGTGGCAAATAGAGGCTTAGCAAAGCACATGAGATATCAATTGCAACAATTCATTGGCATCTATTGCTTTAACAAGGACACACAAGTTCCTCAGCCTGGTTCAGTGTGAGGACACCATGCTGCCTCTAACAGCCACTAGGGGGTAGATAGGCTGATAGTGAATTCACTGATGAATGTGGTATTTGAGAGGACTTTTCTCAATGGTTAATTCTATAGTTCAATCTATTTGTAATCAGTCTAACTGGGATGAGGATACAGTTCATAAGAGGGACCACAAGAATAAGAAATATTTACAAGAATACAAACAATGTAACACAATAACGTAATAAAGGATTACAAAATTATGAAAAATATAAAATTATAAAGATATGAAATCACAAATGTACTTTTAGGGCTTATACAACATATACACACAAAGTGAAAACAGGGGGGGGAGGTTAAGCATTTTAAGTTTAGTTGTCCTTTTATGGATTATGAAAAAACATACACTTAATATGTCCTAAGATTGTCTCTCAACAATAGTGAACATATTTGAATAATCTATATTTAAAAAGCAAGAAAAAGGCTGCTCTCAATAAATACACACCTGTGTTGTTTGGCTTTATCTATCTAGCAGACCTTTTCATCAACCTCAGAACCAACAAAAACACTACAGACTTTTGAGCTCTATGTATGCACATACTCTACATATGTATTGAATACTGATTTATAAGTCAAATATTTAGAATACAATAAGCCACAGTGTTAAATCCAGTCCTCCTTTGATTTAAATCAAAAAGGTCAGCCTTTTGTTTTGCATTTCCTCTCCTGCTCCGCATGCTCATTCAGTCTCTCACCTGTGTGCTGGATGCCTGTGTGAGGGTTTGGGCCGCTCCCTTCAGCTGGAGCAGCATGGCCTTCAGATCCTCCTGCTGACCCACGACCTCTGACCCCCCCGAGCTGTTCAGGTGCTGGGTCAGTGGGAGCAGTAACTGAAGGATGGACCCCATTTCTTGCGTTATCTAAGTTAAACAAGAGGAAACATGTTGATTTATGCAAGTTATGACTTTAAAGAGTGAACTTTACTTTCTGTTTTGGGGTTGCTTGAAGAGTTAATTTACTCTTATAAACACAAACACATGTTTCACTGTTTATTTTTATGTTTGTCTGTTTTTTTACCTACCTAGGGACATCAAATGTCCATTTTTGCTAACTCAGGCATATTTAAACCTTGTATTTTTAAACTGATGTTTATTCCTATCCCTATCAAATAAATTGATACAGTCAATAAAAACAGTTGTTATAGTTATGAGGCTGCTGCTGTGTATGGCCTCCATTAAAATAGTTAAAAATAGTTCTTTTTTTCTTTCCCCCTTTCCTTTCAGCGTGACACACATCGGTTTAGTGACATCAAGTATTTACACACTGGGAGGTGCAAGCATTACCTCATCTCTTTCTTGAGTCAAGTATATCACATGGTGATACTGTCCTCATTAAATGTCATCTTGAGGTTTCACCCCTTCCGCTTTCATACAGCAAAATGATGATACATTTACAGACACAGGGGTTAACGTGCACTGAGCTGTTAAACAAGGAAACTCTCCTACACTGTGGCTATGACAAACAGGAAGTGTAGAGAATGACTCATGAGTGCAGTTAAACGTCAGATTGTACTTCTGGAAACAAATGTGGAAACACAGCGGGGCAGAAAGACAGTTTTTCAGTTCCCACCAAGACATAATCAAAGCAACAAGTCTTATCTAATCTTTTGTAGTGTCTTCACTTTAATAAATGACAATGTCCCACCTCCTGTCTGTCCTTGCATCAAACACAAGTCACACTGTCCTTTAAAAACTAGCACAAAATGTCCTGTCAGCATGTCATCTCTATGCCATGACATGTATACATGTTTCTTTAAAAATTCCACTTTCTCCTTTAGGTTTTTCTGGTGCCATTATGCTGTTATGTCACTTTGCAGGAAATACTTTGTTTAATATTCGTGTTTCCAGTCATCACAGGAAAACAATTTCCCCTCAAAACAGTCATGAATCATTGTGGGCAGGACTACAAAGGCATGAGAACAAAACTAACTCTTGCCAACCACATTATGGAGACAATGTCGGTTCAGTCCCAAACTAAACTCTTCTGCTGTTTCTGTCAGTCACAGTCTCCACCTCTTAGACAAGAATGTTGTGCTATTCAGAGTATTTCCTACATCTGGGCAAAGATCTACTTTCATTTCCCATAGTTATTCTGCAGCAGTGATGGTTTTGTGTTTTAAGAAGAATTCAAAACTGTATCCAGTCGCTTACTGCTAAGAATGATTGATATGGATGAACAGATACATTCTTCATCACCTTTGTTATAACTCGTACGTAGTACATTTCCTAGAAAATAGACTGAGAAATATGTCAGCCAGTGCAACAGTGTGGCTGAGTGCCGCTGTATTAGATATAAAGATGAGCTATGGGTCAATTCTGTAGTAGGAACGATTGTTGGTTTTGGATTTTCTTTTTTTTTTTTTATGGGATTTCTTGACTATAAGAAATATAAAGATTTCTCATATAAAGCATAGGTTTTTTTCTCTGTTTAATTTCGCTGACCAGATGTTTTCAACCAAATATTTCTCCTTGTCTTGCCTGATGGTTTAAACACTGTAGTTTGACTTCAATCTGCTTCAGTACCTCTTCTCTGCTGACTCCCAGCGCGGCCGTCTCTAGGCTGCTCTCCAGCTCGGACAGCAGGGAGGTTTCTCCGTGGCTCCTGCCTTCCTGCAGGGACACCTCCTCCTGCAGCTCCTCCACCTGGGCCTGCAGCTGCTGTGAGCGACCCTGCGCCGCCTCCACCTCCTGCCACGCCTCGGAGAGCTACAACACAAGAAGGTGCATACACATACTGTAAACATAGAGACAAAACAACAGGCACAATAGTGAATTTTAGGTAAGCACCCAACAACCAATGAGGGAAAGAAATGCCATCCTTAGGTTATATTCATGATAAACAGATATAAGGATATAAGGACACAAAAGTGTTTTTACCCAAGGCCATGTGTGCTTTTTAAAAAGCCACCATTAAAATAGTTTCTGCTACTGTTCAGTGCCACATAAATCCAGACCTGCCAGATTCCAGCCTGCAGTCTCACATGAAACTAAACCAACATGTGAGGAATCCAGAATTGCGAGGGAAAGAGACAATGACGGGGATGAGGTGATTGTTTAGCAATGCTCTCCACCATCCTGCCGAAACCCAGGCTGCCAGGCAGGGAGCAGAAAATCCCTTTGTTATCGAATGCTCTTTCATTCATACAGCGACCGCACTGAGCTGCTTTGTGTCGCCCCGGCTGTGTGTGTTTGTTTATGTACCTGCTGGCTGTGCTGCTGTTTGAGTTGGTCGTGCAGAGCCAGGCGTGTTTGTAAAGAGGCCAAACTCGCCCTCAGATCTGCGTTTTCTTGACACACACTCTCTATTCGCTCCTCCAGCACCTGCTCCTTCTGGGTGAGACGCAGCACCTGAAAGCACAAAAACAAAGATCTTAAATATGATAAAAAAGTTACCACATATCTGCCAGGAAAACTCTCACAAACTCCTACTATGCTGTTGAATCACTTTATATCAACAAACCAATGTTGAAATATGTGATTTTCTTCTTTTTAAAAAGGTGCCAAAAATCTCTGAATTTGTTTTCCCTGGAGAAACAAAAGGGAGCTGCTTTCCATCGTTTACCGTGAGAATGTCACTTTCTTTCTCTATTTTGGAAACAAGGAGCCAAAAGTGTTGTTGTGTGGTTGCATTAAACATCAGTGCCATTCATTGTTTACTGTAGACAGGTATTTTCTAACAATATGTTTATCCAAACAAGAATGTGGATTTGCAATTGCAGGTTTCTGAGGGTGGTTATTTGTCATTTAAGAGTAAGCTTAAAGGTGGGGTAGGTAATTTTGGAGAAACCAGCTCGAATGCGCTAGAATTTGAAAATACACAGCCGGAACAAATCTGCCACTTCCTTATAGAGCCCCTCCTCCAACACACACGAATGCGGACATGACCAATGAGGGCACGAGATAAGTTTGTGCACAGATGGAAGGCTGACAGGCAGGTAGGCCATCCAGTTATTTTAGCCGGGCCGGCTAAAATGATTGGTCCTACTTTTTACAGCACTACGGCTTCCACAGATGACATTTGTTTATGGATTTTTTGTCAAAGCACTTAAGATATTCATTGCTATCGGGATATTAAGAGCATTCCATGGAATATAACAAAAAGTGTATCTCGAGCCGGTTTCTCAAACGTACCTACCCCACCTTTAAGTGTGAGAATGGATATTATCTCTTTTGAATCTCTTTATATTAATATTATTATGTTCTTCATGTAATGGAAAAGTTGATTTCAAAACTTAAATCACAACACTCAAATTAAATGCAACACGGTAAAGCAAAAAGAACCAGCAGCTGGCAACACAATCACCACTTTTGACAGGAAATAGAATATGAGAACACACAGACTTGCTGGTGCAGTTTGTTCTGGTCGTCGTGTCTGTGTGAGAACACGATGTACACAGCACTGAAAAAAAAAATGTTAGCTGACCATCCTTTTTTAAATTCAGGATTTAGCTTTGTAGTGGTTGCAGCATTTAGTGGTACATATTTATTGTTCATATAAGTTACCTGCTCCCTCATGGCACTGATCAGCTCCTCGTCCTGCGGCCTGTTGTTGCTTCCTTTTTGTTGGAGCTCCTGTTTCAGAGCTTGCAGCTCGCCGGACATGGCTCTCTCCACCGCCATCGCCTAGAGAACAAATACATGGAGCACATGAGAATCAAAAAAAGGTCAAAAACATGTGGCTTTTGAATTCTCAGAACAGCCTTCCTTCTGAATTGCGTTTACCTTTAGGAGGGATCAAAACTTTTTTAGCAAAGCTTGCCTGAGGGATGAGCTTTAAGAGACTTGAGGACACAATCTTGAATCTTAAAATAACCACATATATAGCATAGTTCTAAATCCTGTAATCTAGACCCAGAGGAGAAGGAGCACAATATGATACCTGACAGAAAGGTGGGGATTAGGTGAAATTGAACATGTGTTGGGTATGTTTTTTGCTGCTGGCCATGCACACCAAGAAAATTAGAGCTTGTCTTCTTTACTGCCTTTGTAAGAACTGCTGATGGTTACAATATTCCCAGCATGGGAACCCAGTGACCCCCAGAGATGTTTGAAGATACAATCAAAAGGGGTCACAAGATGATTAAAGGGTAAAGAAAGATAAAATGTTTCTTTTTTTTTAAATAAATTGTCTCTTTTCTTTTTATATTTTAACTTTTTCAAACGTCTAAAACTCCTTAAGATAAAACTATTTGAAAATGATCTTTTGTTTTGTTGAACAACTCATAACTGAAACTGAACCTAAGATCATGACCTGTGATGAAGGGTAATGTGTACATATTGGCTTTAAAAAAAAAAAAAGGCGCCATGTGGAGTTTCTGGTCACTCTTAACACTATGGAGCAATGTTATGTTTGTATTCACAAGTGAGAAGGCGCAGCAAAGGGATGTACAATCCTAAAACATGTCACAAGCCAAAAAGACTGGAAACTACAAAACAAAAACACAACCTGACTGCTGTGAGCACTCAGCCTGAGCCAGAGTACACAATGATTAGCCAGTCACCGCCAAACCATATGTCATATTAAGATTTAAATAATGATTTATTTCTTGGTGACATTGTTCTACTTGTTTATCAGGAAATCAGCTACTTCCTCAACACATAGCTCTCAGACACAAATTTAGAAACATAAAAAAAAAAGTAAAAAAACTGGGATCTTGACGGATCTGAAGCCCCGGTGAACACCCACCCCCCTCGCTCAGTTCCCCTTACTCAGCAGTGTGGCGGGCCCCTGTCAGGCCCTATCATTGCCACATAATACAAGATGAAAGGCCGGCCCCCGCAGCAGATGGAACAGAGGGCATCTTGGTCTCGGCTGTGACATCTCCATGCCACATTAGACAAAAGTGTGGCGGAGGGCAAACTTTGACTTCATTAGGGTGAAGTGGAGTGGGGTGGGGGGGCAGCTTGTGTGTACGTGTTTGCAACAGTGTACGGAGGAAGTGAGGCAGGCGTGAGGGCTAAAATTAGCGGGAAGACAAGAGTAAATCTGGCGCTGATGAAGAAAAACAAAACATTGCATGCAGACACACTTTGAGTAGGAGGAGGATAAAAGAGAGGGGGGGGGGCTTGATGAACATTTGTGTCCATGAGTGAGTCGTCATTACTGCTGCCTCATCTCGTCAACACGGGCCCCTTCTCCACAATAGAGGCAGCGACCCACTGAGAATCACCAAAACAGGAGTGGAAGGAGGACGCTCCATTTGGTAGAGACACAGAGATGACATCCCCTCACACGGCCCCCCGAGCCTCCAGCCATCCAAACGCTGAGGTACCCAACAGCTGACGACCCAAGCTACAGACGAGGGCCTCAGGGAGCATACAGAAAAGATAGCTCTCCCCTGGGATGATGGGATGTTTGGGTATGAGGGGCAACATCAAAGGAGCAAATGAAAGATTTATATCTCTCCCCAATGTATATTGTCTTTCCCTTTTTGTCTGTGGGCTGCGTGATGCTTGTGGAGGGGGCAGAGGTCACGGGGGCTCGCCTAAATTCAAGCATCTCTTTTTACAATAACGGAAATCTCACAGCATGGGATTTGTCACAGTCGTCCAATAACTCACTGGGATCCACTGTGAGCCAGGGGAGGTGATGCAAGGTCATGAGGTCATGTAACACTAGGTGGAAAGGTAATGTGTTTACCACATAAAGACTAAATCGCCACCTGTTTCCTTTACACCCAGTTTCCCTAGAGAAACGCAGTAGACCAAATGTTTGACCTGCAACTGAAAATATATTTATAATCAAATGATCTGCCAATTCTCTTTTCAATAATCAATGAATAATATGGACTCAATAAGTAGTATAGATGCTTAATTTAGTCAATATTTTAAAGGATTCAACATTTATTTATTAGGCAAATGAACTATTCCCAGCTTCTTGAATGGCAATACTTTATTAACTTTACACAGGTTCAAACCAATGTCCTGAACCTCCCTAAGGATATGTTATTGAATTCTTTGCCCGGGAAATGTTGTAAGTAAATACTATTATCAATTCCAGTTTATCATTGAATAACCATACTCCCTTTCCAGTATGGCATTTCATATCCAGCCAATTTGTTGATATCCCAGTTTCGGTGGAAAATGTTCTTGCACAAGAGTCCAATTCAAGCAGAAAAATACCTTAATCTCCCTTTTCTTCCAATCCAAGTAAATAATGTCGTAATTTACTAGCTCCCCAGAATCAGATGTTACACATTTCCTTGTTAAACATTCACTGAATCACGTGATAAATTGAATTGGCATGAATCAGAAACAAGACAAACTCATTAAAGCTTGCCTTAATGTTCTCACATTGTGTGTCTGTTACAGTAACTATAGCTAATGTTATCTGAAATAAAAACACCCTGACATCAGTCAACACTCTCATATTTTAACACCTACTTTGCTCTGCTCTGTCTAAACAGTTAGCACTGACCCATGTGACAATCTGGCACACGTCAACATTGTTTTTAGCAGCTGCTTCCTCCAATGCACTAGAATGAAAAGTCACGGTAAACCGTTCCTCTCACATCAGAGCTTTGCTGGTAAACATCAGCATTTCTTTATCGCTCAGGTTTCCTTGGTGCCATTTACAGACAGACCACCTCCTCCAGATTCCTGTCATGCTCTGGTTACACTCTCACAGTTAGGATATAGTGTTTCAAGCTCTCTGAAACCTACTACAGTTTCATCATGTGTAGACTCACAATCCATAACAGAAATACTGCAGACGGAAATGATGTAAATTGTATAATTGAACAAATATTTACAGGTTCTAACATTTTCTTCTCGCCCCAAATGTGAATATTTACTATCATTGATGAATAATATGAGTTTTCTATTTGAAGTCGTATAAAAAAAAAAAAGACATTTGAAGACTTCATGTGGGCATTTAAAATATACTCTCCTCCACCATATCATAAAGACAACGATCAATCAATATTAACCCTAATCTGCAATCCAATCAGGACATACTGTACATAATACATGTCCATGTTCCAGTGGTTACTTTGGGAACACCTGTAAACACCCATACACACAGATATACAGACACAACTCACCGCGGCAGAAGCAACAGCTCTTTCCACCACGTCCGGTGAAAACACGTCAGACATGGAGCTTCTTTACTCTCTTTCGTTCTTTAAAACATTCACTCTTTCCTCTTACTGTTTACAACCACACAGAGTCCAGAGTTGCCCATGTCTGATGCCAAATAAAACATTTTTTCTCCACTTCCTTCTCCCCGAACAGAACAGAGATAGCACCTTTTATCTAAATTGACTTTTTCCTGAACTTCTAGGGAGTCTCTTTTCCACAGTAAGTGCTTCAGACAGGGGCAAGACATTCATTATTCTTATTATGTGGACCTTGACTCATGGGAGGGTGGTTCACTGTTGTTTGGATTCATTTTTTACTTTTGCCAGCTCAGGTCTGCTGTTCATTTTTAAACGACACTAAGAACCACTCTACTAGTAGTGCGTAACGCAGCACGTCACGACTGTAATGTTTAGTGAAGCGTTCTCAGGCTGGAAAAACACTGAAGGTTGTCCAGCTGTGTGATCCAATCAGTTCCTCCATGTTCATTGATAAGAGGCAGTAAAATATGTCACCAGTTTGATTCTCCTCAAATTGTCTCCTAAGGATTCTACACTGAAGATCATTAATGTTTGACTTGAAGACGTATGAGCTGATAATGATTTGAATCAGCTGTATGTAGCCAAGTCTTTTTTCCATTACGTAATATAGGTACCCAAAGACGTTAGTAATAGATGACTTCATGTTATAATAACTGGATCAAGTTAAATAGATTATAATGTTCTCATGTAAGGCTGCAACTAATGATTCTTTTCATAATCTGCACATTTTTCTCCCGATCAATCAATTATTATATAAGAAGATAGTGATTCATGCCTTTCACTAGGTAGAGTCTTAAGGTGGCGTTTTGTTCAATCAACAGTCCAAAACACAGAGATAAGCAGATGTATTGTGTTTGCCATGATATAAGGAAAGCAGAACAAATTCACAATCACGATTCTTGAAAGAGGTTGTTTGACCTTTTTCCTCCAGAAGTGATTTAAGATTAACAATCATTATTTTTCAGGACTTTTTTAGTCTGTCCTCCCTCTGTCCTAGATATAATTTTTATTTTTATTTAACCTTTATTTAACCAGATAAAAGCATTGAGATAAAATCTCATTTTCAATGCTGACCTGGCCAAGAAGGCAGCAACGTTACACATAACACAAACATATAAAATACAGAGAACATAACTAAGAAAACAAAAGACGAAAAAGCAGTCACTACATTGTGCACATTAGGACAGTAAGAAAGGTACACTACTTATTACTGCAAGAGCAGCTGGTGGTGAGGACTTCAGACAACTTCAATTTAAAACATGCTATTGAGACAAGTGCCCTCAGTTTATGGTTTGATTGAAGGTCATTCCAAGACCAAGGACCATAAAAATATAAATCTAAATCATGGCATTAACTTTCACTCCCCTTGTTGTTTACATATCGCTTCCCTTCTAATACACAGATCAGATAATTTGCCTTAAGCCAACAACTTTGTTAAGTAACTACTGACGGACCAACAACGTCTGGCCCTCCCGCCCAGATGAAGAAGTTCCTTCTTATCACAGTAAGCACTGCTCAGTGTGTGAACAGTTTGAGAGTTTGGCCTTGCTTTAGAGCAGATTAGACTCAGACTGATACCTGAGCAGTTTGCAGAGAACATTATGTTTCAGTGCGAGGATAAAGTGACAGCTCCTCTTATCTGGTTTGACCCCGAAGGTCGGCAGCTTCTGATCCACAGCTCAGTGTTTGTTTCTCAGAGGCTCGGGTACCTGCAGCAGCCAGGTACTTTGAACCAAAATCTATAGATATATATTCTTCAGTCAGTGTTGAACTAAGTACATTTACTCAAGTATTGTAGTAAAGAGGTACTTGTACTTTGCTTGAGTATTTTATTTTCATAGCATTTTATACTTCCACTAAAATTCAAAGGAAGATATTGTGCTTTTCACCTGAATACAGTTTTCTTACAGATTTAGTTACTTTTACAAATCAAGAATTTCTCATAAAGATTCATGTTTATGAAATATGATTAAATGTTTTGTTATGACTAAAACTTGCAAATTGTTTATACAAGAAGAGTTACTTGATTAATCCACTAGCCGATTGAGGGATAATTATTTCTAATCTATAAACATATATTCTAGTTTATTCCCAATAATTGTTTTTTTGTGGGTTTTTTGTAATTTATTTTTCTGATTTGGTACTTTTCCATTTAATACTTTAATTACGTTAAGCTGATTATACTTACTTACTTTTATTTAAGTAACATTTTGAATGCCTGACTGTAACAGTGGAACTCAATTCTCCTTTAACCACTGTCTACAGTTCAGACAGGATAACACACATTACACACACAAACACACTCTCTTGGGACTCACAGTGTTGAGCTGATCTCTGAGTCTCTGTGTGTGCTCGCTGTGCTCCAGCTCGGCTCGGCTCTTGTCCCTCTCGGCCTCGCTGAGGGTCCGGGTCAGCTGCTCCACCTGGCCGCTCAGCTCCCTCACATCCCTCTCCAGCTCGCCCACCTGGCTCTCCCACTGGGACTGGCAGCCCTCCAGCTTCTGCCGCAGCTCATGCCTGCCCTGCTCCAGCGCCTACACAACACAGATTCAGAGTGACGGTTAACTCAACATAGGCAGTTTATACTTTGCATAGGTCTGAAATTATAATGCTTCTAAATGTGCCTTGTCAGCAACAGGATATCATAATAACAAAGTTTTGTTTTGAAAAGGAATCTGAGGGACAGAATGTGCCAGCAGGCCTCATTTAGAGCTTTGAAGGATCATCAAAATGAATTATTGCTGGATATTTGTATTAATAAAAAAAAATTATCTATTGCACTGAAATGTACAGCATTTAATTCATGTGCTACAGAAACATCAGTCAAATCTGTTTTCATATATTTCATTATAGATAAAACTATCATTCATCTTCTAGGCAGATACCTTCTTGCCACATCTTTATTGCATTGTGTAAACAGTACGGATTTAAGTCCGAGTAATCGCTGATAAGAGTTGGGTTTAAACATCTGAAGGGCCAATCAGCATTCACCATGAGAAAAACAATCAGGCCATTATTTAGTCTGTCGTAAAGCTCAGGTGTGTGATGCTGTGCAGTAGGCAACACCTTAACAACAAATATAAACACAATTAAAAATCTGCAAATAGCTGTCTCTTACTTCAATACTGTTAGATGTTGTCCTAAAGACATTTATTGAATTTGGAGAATCATCTGATCTCTTTCAGGAGTGTTCTGATGCTCCCAGTAAATATGTGGGTCCTGCTGCAGTTTGCTTGTAATAGATGCACGAGTTAACTTCTGATGTTTTATAAAACGTTTGAGTCAAGTCAGGTTTGGTTCCTCTGCAGCAGGTTGCCAATTTATTTCACAACCTGTAAAAATAGCTTGCTGAGAAACATTTCTGTAAAGATACTGTTGTAGTCAGTGAAAAAACACAAAATAAAATAGTAGTTTTTATTCCTTTTGTATGGAAATGATAGCTTTATTCAAAGTAGTATCCTATGGATCATATAATGTATTGGTGTTGAGATTAACAATGGATTTTGGAATATATAATGAATGTTGTAAAGTCTGCTGTAGATGATACTGAACGGTGTCTATTGTTTCTCAAAAGTGTATTTTTCTCCATGTATTTGTCATATGTTGCTGTTTATTATCACAATTGAGTATTTAAAGTTGTCATTTGGACATCTAATACAAAAGAAACTGCCAGCTGTATGTATTTTTCAAACATGCATCATATGTTTCTTTAAGAAAAAATAATACAAATTGGATTATACTCAGATATGTTGTAGGCCTATTGTTTTCTTAAACTTGATTCATTTTGTTACTAAAGTGGCTCTGATACCAGTTATAAAAAACGAAAGCGTTATAATTTGTTAATCCTAAAAACATTTTCATTTTCACCCTCCCACTTCAAGCTTTAGCATCAACCACATCGTCAAATATTTCTTAATACACATATTTGAACACAAAGCATGTATTATATTTAACATGTTAAAGCAGTTTTTGTGAAATAAAGCATACAGTCTTACCTCCAGATTGTCTGCGTATTGTTCATGAAGTTTGTCGCTCCGCTCTTTCAACTCACGGTTTTCCAGAAGCAATGCGTTTCCCAGCTGGGCTGCCAAAATAACCTCTTCCTCCTTTTGTTTCAATGCAGTCACAAGTTCATTGGGGTCTTGATAATCAGTCATTTCCTCCGACTCGTAGTCGAAGAAGAAATCCTCCTCCAGGTCCATTTTTTTGGTCTTGAAGCTCCAATCATCCAGGCGATCCATAATTGCAAAACCGAGGAGTTGACTTAAACAAAACTTTCTAAGTTAAAAGTGTTTTAAAGACACAGAAAGAAGCTAAAATAGAGACGCACAGGTGGGAATAAGTTCTTCCATTACACCTGTGTTTCTGTCTCTGTGTCTGTCTGTGTTTCTGTGAGTGGAGCTGACGGTTTGAGCTCCTCGGTGAGAATTGGTTGCTCCGTCTGTCAGCAGCACATGACATGGTCTCCAGGGGGTGTGGCTTCCTTCCGTCACCTGGGAAACTGTTACCAGCCAGACGCACACCTGTCCTGCCGCTAAAGGCTCAAGGTGTTGCTGGTTTAGTGGAACATTAACACAAAGCTGAGAGACACACTAAGCTTAAAAAATACTACTTAGATATGTTAAGTCAGTGTGAGGAGCACAGAGTAACCTTAAAGCAAAACTGTGTCAATTAAGTCCTGTATTCAAAATGTTAATGAAGTTATTGTAAGCAGGGGTGTTGCTAGGATCTAGTAACATTGGGGGCTTAGATATGATCTCTTATCTCTATAGTAGACCAATCTACTACAAAAACAGAAACATATGGACATAGGTTACTATATAAAAAATTTGCAGATGTAATAGTGTCCTTTCCATGTTAACATTATGTTAAGTGTGGGTGGACTTCATATCCTCTTCTCCTACTCCCCTTAATGTATGATCGGTATGAGAGATGAATATATTCAAAAAATGTTACATATTCTTTATATTGTAAAAAAAAAAGTATTAGTAGGCTACATTAATTAGAACTAGGTCTACTTTACATAGTTTGATCTAGCTTTTAATAATCTAATATCTCAAGACTAATCATACTATACACAAAATCATTTCCATATTGTATGGTAAAATATTGACTGACTTTCAAGATGATTACAACGAGCAATTATTTAAAACTGTACAATCAAAATGTTTTTAAGGGTTATCATTTGTAATATATCCTTCTCAAATGCAAAGGGATGTTTATAATTATAATTATTCATTTAAACTTTACATTTTTTATTTTACAGCACTTTTCAAAACCTGATTAAACTTGTCTGACAAGAAATATTAAGCAGATCATGTTTTAATTTGTATTAGGCCATTTTGGAAATGTTGGCCTAACCGAAAACATGTTTTGTTTTGGATGCCCAGAATATATTATATTTACAAGTATGGTAGTGATAATGACGAAGTGAAATCCCTGTTTCCTTCATCCATCCACCCAACAAGTGCACAACAGGTCCACCATGTGTGGAGGGTCTGCTGCTTCCCTGAGGTCAAAGCTCAGCCCCCGGAGGATTGAATGCAGCAGGGGGGCAGTGTCAGGGGAATAGAGAGACGCAGCATCCTGACGCGTGGCAGAGCTTTTGTTGTTAGGGGCGGCACAGCTTCTGTACATATGGTAGCAGGGGCCAAACAAATGTAGAAGACTCAGTCCTGTCTCCATTGTTCCTGCTCAGTTTAAAGGGGGGTTATGAAGGGGCTTGATGCTGGAAGTGTGGCACATGTGGCCAAGCAGTGCTAGAAAAGAAGAGACACAACCAGACAAAGCTAATGAAGCACGTGCGTTTGTCTGTCTGTCATAAGTAGGGGCAGAACTAATATAACACTTAACAAAAGATAAACATCAGCTGCTTCCTACCCTTATTACCGAAATAAGTGTGACCTCCTTCCACAACAAACGTGTTGCCTTCCAAAGTGAGTCCAAAAGGACTCTTCAACTTGAATTTTTTCTGAGCTAAGGTTTTCTGCTGAAGAGCTTTTGTTGAAGGTGTGAAGAAGTAAGGTAATATAAAAACGTATTGATGTTTCAAATCGAGGAAGTGCTTGCTTGCCAATACTGTAATTTACACTATCAGTGTGCACAACCAGCTCCATTGAAGCAAAACCTCCATCAGCTCCAGTGATCCTGTTGAGTGGAAAGGACACAAAAATATTACAAATATTGATCAATGAAGATGAAGAGATAAATGAAGTATATTTGTATGCTTTTATACCTCTTTTACCTCACTGTTTTTGTTGTTTGTATTTTATTTACTTGAGTACACTGAGATAAACCTTGCAGAAATGAATTTAATCTGATTAATTGGACAAAAAAGTATTCTTTTCAATGTGTCATTAGTGAAATAGGCTTTGTTGCAGAATCGGCTCCTCACATATACAGATATATAATAGGGTTGTATTTGTACTGAAGCATCAATATGTTAGTGGAGCTGATAAGAACTTTATTCAGTGCCTCATAAAAAAAAATACAAGTTGTCACTAAAGCTTTTAAATTAATGTGGTGCAGTGTAAGTATTGTAATACTCAAGTAATATAAGCACCTTAAAAATGCACTTAAATAGAGTACTTAAGAAAATGAACTTAAGTTTACAGTCAGTGTAACTGTAAATGTTATTATTAGTTTATATAATGTCAGTCCAGCACAGACCTGAAGTGGCCCCTGGTGGACAAAAGAGTAAAACACATTACTATGTGCTCTTCCAGGAGAGTTAGAGGAAAGTAAAGAAACAGATTTGTATGTGTTCATTTGTTGTTTATAATTTAATTTACTTAATGAAATTAAGTTAAAACAATTAATTTTTTTCTTTTTTAACATAATGTAGGCTACAGCATATTGTATAAAGCACATCTTTTTTTTTTTTTAAATACATTTTATTTCCACATACTTCATTAGACTTTAATATAATTTAACTAATTTGTTTATTGTCTTACTTTCTTAATTGTTATATTTTAGCTCACCATTGCGTTACTTGTTATTGTCACAACACCTCCGGCCAGCAGATGGCGTATGTGGCCTCCCACTGCCAACTGTAAAAAGAGGAAGCACACTTTGAACAGCAGTTTTTTATTAAACGCGCTTGAACTTTCCTGAGTTGTGTGGAGCTTGCATACTGTAAACGATTCATATCACCTTTGAAGTGACAATGGAGAGCAGCGCAGGGACGGTTTCAGCAATTAAAGCTCTCGGGTGAGTATCTTTTACCTGCTTCATGTTTGCTGCGTAGGCTCTCAGTTTGTCTCACCTGTCGGCCTCACTTCCTGTTCAGGTACCCGGGCAGCCGCTGCCTCTCTCGGTGTGAATGTGATGAACTCCCCTGCCCGCTGCTCACCTGGCTGACTGCAGAGCTGAGCACTCTGTGTCCGGAGCTGCAAGGTTTCTATCATAAACTGTCTGTGCTGAAGCGTGGCCTCTATGGCATTGATTATCTGTTTTGTTTAAGCCAAGGACACTATACAGACAAATCAAGGGATCTTTAAGTAATTTGAAGTAGCCTATTATTTAAAACAAAGAGAAATGTCCCAGAAAGATGTATAGACACACTCAATAAAGGATGTGTGCACGTTCTCAAAACAGTCCAGCCATACATCAAATTATAAGAAAACTTTTCCAACTATGTTGTACAGTTACACTTTTTAAGTAATCAGGTGGTGTTATTTTTCCAACAATGCATTTTACTTTTCTTATCTGCAATTTCTTTTCACTTTTTGGCTGACATTGCTTTACACCAACCTCAATATATCTGCAACAGGCTAATATCTGTCCATCATAAATCAACCTGGAATATTATAGATTAAAAAATATATGATATTCATGTAGTCCAAAGAAAGATGCAGATCAAAGTTACAAATAGTTGTACATTGCATGAATGAAAGTCAGGTGCCATGCACTTTATTATACTGTGCAGAATGGTATTATCCTGTTCTTGTTCCATTTTGCTGCGTGATTATTATTTATATGTATATTTATATTCATATGTATAAATTAGATTGCCTTGTTTTCCCTTTTCTTAGATTCAAACAGGACAGGAGATGTCTTGCTGGTGGGAGAGTTGAGAACTTTACTGTCAAACATTGTGTCTCCCCTCACTGTGCTGGCCTCAGACGTGATGGGGCCGTCCATCCTCAACACAGTCACTGGTGAGAAATTAGAGTAGTGTGCTTGTAGTGCCAATGGATTGAACATTTCATGCACAACTTATTATTATTATTATTATCTTAAAATCATTTTTCAATTCTTTAGAGTCCCTTGTGTCAGAATTGCAAGCAGCTCAAATATTGAAGCACAAAGAATTGCATCCAGAGGACAAACCCACAGAAGAGGAGTCTGAAAAAGAGCAGCGAGTTGAAGTAGGATTGACTGAGTTTTCTGAGGAATATGATGAGGATGCTGACAAAGACAGAAGGGAGGCAGAAATGCAGGCAGAGTGGATATTACTGCTGCACGCCCTCAACATGGATTCCTCCTGTCAATTTACAGATGTGTTAAGTGAGGTTAGTCTGATATAATGAGACTTAAATGTGTTTTTCACTACTTTTAAACTGAGAAACACAGAAAGTATTTTTTCAAACGTTATTTTGATGCAGGTGGAGGCGAGGCTCACTCGTCTACCTTGTGGAGAAATGACAAAACCGCTTCTCAACAGCAGCCTCAGCTCAGAGCAGTGGGTATGTTGCCAGGGCTTTTACCAATTTATTATACATCATATCAAGTCATATAACTTACGTGTTTGCTGAAAAATCTTTTTCTGAAAACCTTAACATTTGACTCGGGCAATTATACTATGAGGTTAACGATATGTAACTATAACATGATATTCAACATTACATTTTCCTTTCTGCCTCAGGTGCAAGTAAAAAAGATCAATCAGATTCTGTCAGGGGACTATCAGTGTCGACGCCAAATGATGATCAAACGCTTTCAGGTTACTCTCGAGTCGTTTACATGGGGAGACAAACAAAAGGTAGGCATGTCAAATCATTGCATCAGTTAGAACTGAGTTGGGTTTTATTGAATGGGTTTTGCCCTTACGATGCATATGCATGCACAGCTATGCAGCAAGCTAAACATACTTCCCATAAAGGAAGATTGCTTAACTTTCAAAGAACTTGTTTTGTAAAATGTTCCTTTGCAATAATGTTTCAGGTATAATGTTTAAGATGTTTAATGTTGTTTTTTGAACACATGTCTCTGAAAAAGAGATTAAATATTGACTATTTTTCTGATAGCAACATTGAAGTTAGATTGGTCCTTTATTTACAGGAGAAAGTTGAAGCGCTGGCCTCAGTGCCTCCTCTTTCGTCGCTCAGCGGCTCCTCTCAGGTGTCCCCGTCTCTTCTGATGGCCACCAGAGAAGATCAGTCCTTCATTGAGATAATCAAGTCTGCAACAAGCACACTCGTCTAC